GGGCTGCTAACTGCAAGGTCACGTTAGAATCTACCAGTCACTCCGTGGGAGAAAGATGAGGCTTTCTGCTCTCATAATTACTGCAGACTAGAACTGCTCCACAGGGTTTGTCCACACTGGCTTGTCTTCTAATGCACCTATACAGGCTTGCTATGAGTCAGAACTGACTCAACAGCACACTACCACCACCACCACCAGTCCCAGAGAGGGAAAGGGCGGGGTAGGAAGTCTCCAGTTCAAGGAAATAGTAGCAAGTAGTAGAGAGTAAAGGGAGCTCTGGTAGCGTAGTGGTTACGAATCGGGCTGCGAACCTTAAGGTCAGCGGTTCGAAACTACCAGGTGCTCCGCGGGAGAAAGATGAGGCTTTCTACTCCCGTAAAGATTTACACCCTCGGAAACCCTATACAGGGTCGCTATGGGTCGGAACCGACTCGATGGCACATAACAACAACAACAACAGTAGAGAGTAAAGGAGCCCTGAGAGCCCATTTGATTAAGGATTGGGATGCTTAAGCCAACTAGATGCTTTGCAGGAGAGATGAGGCTGTGGGCTCCCATAAAGACTTTGTTGTTGTTAAATGCAGAAGACTCACAGCGACCCCATACAGGATTTCTAAGGAGCATCTGGTGGGTTTAGAACTGGGTTTCAAGGCTGTTGGAGTCCTGGATGGCTCCATAACATAAGCACTGGGCTGTTAACCAAAGAGGCTCCTTGAAAACCCTATATACAAGGTCATTATGAGTTGGAACCTACTCAATGGCACTTAACAATGACATATCTTTTGCAGGAGCAGAAAGCCTCTTTCTCCCAGGGAGCAGGCTGATAGGCTCCACCCGCCACCTTTGTGGTGCAAGGTCCAGTGCTTATCCTACAGACTCGATGTTGTTGTTGTTAGGCGCCATCAAGTTGGCTCCAACATACAGAGACCAACAGAAAACACTGCCATTGAGGCCATTGCTGCTGGAATGGTGCCAATCCGTCTCCGTGGTGGTCTTCCTCTATTTCTTCCGATCCTCCACTTTATCAAGCATGATGTCCTTCTCCAGGGACCCGTCCCTCTTGATAACATGTTCAAAGTTTGAAAGACAAGGTTTTGCAATCCTGACCTCCAAAGAGCATTCTGTCCAATACAGATTTATGTGTTCTTCCGGCAGTTTGAGGTACTTTTAACATTTTTCTCCAACATCAAAACTCAAATGCATCAATTCTTCTATGGTTTTTCCTTATTCACTGTCTAAATTGCATATGCTTATGTTACTGCTGTTGTTAAGTGCTTTTAAGTTATAGAGTCATGTTGTTGTTAGGTGCCATGGAGTCGGTTCGGACCCATAGCGACCCTGTACAGGGTTTCTGAGGCTGTAAATCTTTAAGAGAGCAGAAAGCCTCATCTTTCTCCCGCGGAACAGCTGGTAGTTTCGAACTGCTGCCTTGCGGTTCGCAGCCCAATTCGTAACCGCTATACTACCAGAGCTCCTTTATAGAGACCCTGAATAGTATTTTGAGGAAGCTGGTGTGTTACAAACCGCCAACTTTACAGCAAGCAGTCCAGTGTTTATCCTACAGCCCAGCGCCACACCAGGACTCCACATGACACTATGGAAGTACAATGGGCTTGACTCAGGCGTAGTGGGGATTTGTGGTGTTGTTTTACTAGAGAACGAATTAACCCTGGGAAAGCACGTGGACGTGTATCTGACACAGAGGAAGAAATACGTATTTAGTTAAGTAATGGCTATAATTTATGGAAGATGAACCTATCAGCTACCCTGCCTGATCCTGTGTCAGGCCCGCGCAGCAAGATGAAGGAGACAGGGTCACCTTGGCGTTTGGCACGCGGGTTGGGCGCGGATGGGGGCGCAGCGCGCAGGCGCAAACGTGGCCTCCAGCACGCAACGCTGCGGATGTCGCCGCCGGAGGTTCTGCTCGTGGGGGTCGCGCAAGCCGCGCGGCCTCTCAACGCCTCGACTCCGAAGAGTCTCCAGGGCACCGCGTTCTAGGGCCGGGGAGTCCCGGAGGGCGGGCCAGGAAGGGGAGTGGCGCAAAGGTCGTCACCAAGGTCGTGGCCGGACGTGCAGCTCCAAGCCGGAGCCTCGCCGAGTGCGTGCGGGACTCGGAGTACGTGCCTGCGCCCCGAGCCCTCATGCCCGCCGCGACACCCCGCCCCTGCCAAGCCCCAACTCCACAGGCCGCAGCTCTCCTTAGAGGTCCCCGCGGGACCCTAGATTCGCCCTGACCATAATATAGCCCCTGGGGAGTCGGGTCGTCGGGGTCTCCCTAACTACCACAGGCCCTCGAGTCGTCTCCCCCCAGTTTTGGGTCCCTGAGGTAGCCGGAGTCCCGCCCCCTCCCCAGAGGCTAGGACCAGAGTGACGTCTTGCTTAGCCAATGAGGAGACGGCAGACCGGGAGGCGGGAAGTGGGCGGGACCTCCCGGGGCTGGGCAGGAAATCGGGAGAGCGGCGAATAGAGGCACTTGGGGAGTCACAGCGTCCGCTCGCCGCTCACCTAACGCTTGCTTTGGTGATTGCAGCACCCTTCACTTCATTCCTGAGCGATAAAAAACAGCCACTAGGTAAGGATTCCTCCCAGGGCTGCCGAGGGAGCGCTCGGACAGGTGGCTTTTACTGGACCAAACTTGTGGGGGCTCCCGGCCGCGGTCCCTGACCAGGGTCTAGGCACATTCCGCAGATGGAGCTCAGTCCGCTCCTGGTACGCACGGAGCCTGCGCTGTGCACGGCAGGACCCAGTGTCCTTCGTTCGGCCTAGAGGCTGGGGCGCGGCACCTGTAGAGCGTCCGATTTCTTTTGCTAGGAAGGTGATATCTGCATGCGATTAGCGAGCCATAGAGCCAGATAACTACTCGGAGAGAGCCAGGAATAGAACACGCAAGCCATCTATGACAGCTGGCGTCCTGAGTGAAACGTACCTCTCCATCAGTAGCCAAGGAAAAGATTTCTGGGGAGGGATACAGACTAACTCCCGGTGAAAACTAAAGCCAGGCCCTACCTAAAATGGAGGACGGGGCAGGGAAGGGGAAAAAAAAAGAGGCCCAGGAAGCAGTAGCTCCCCCTCCCCCACTGTAGCCCCTGCGTCCTACTGGTGGCTCAGAGCCTGCCGCGCAGCATCAGTCCCGCTCATCCTCTGGGGGCGGGGGGAGGGCGGAGAAGCAATGGTTTTTTATCGTTTCATGAAGGTGCTTATTTTTGAAGAAATTGCAGCAGAGCCAATGGATAATTGGGAAACTCCAGGCCACCTCGCCCTAGTCAAGCAAGAACTGTGCCCAGCTCCCCTGCTTACTGGGAGGGGGGGGGAGGGGGACTTGAGGTGGAGTAAAAGGAATTAATTTTTCTGTTGCCTCCGCCCTGTGGTCTTGACTCTCCGGAGGTTTGGTCCCTTGGTTGACTTGCTCCCGGCACCTTGGGTCCTGACTGCCCATTCTGCCCATGGTACAGGGTTCAGTCCAGATAAAAGAGATCTTGGGCAGGCTCCTGTGCCCTGAACTTTTAATTACTTCGGAGAAAGGCTTTTCAATAAATATAAAGGTATTACATTTTATATGCACATTCTGAAATTACTTAATTACCTTGGCACTAAAATTACATCTTAAAACTGTATGTTGCAAATACTATACTAAAGATGTGTGTGTTTATAATCTACAATGACGAAGCCGCAGTTGCCTGCGAAAGGAAGCGGGAGGTGAGGCTGACTGTAAACCAAATGAGGAAACTTCTTCAGGGTGATGGAAACGTTACACGGCAGTAGAATTTGTCGAAACTCACCAAATCACATATTTAAAATGAGTACCTCTTAACTGTATGTAAAGTATTCCTCAAAGCTGATTAAAATTCAAAAAGATAATTAAACCAACTTGCCATTGGAAGGTTGTATGTAAAAACTAGGTACTTGTTAATTGACTAATGAATAAAACTTCATTGTTAACAGAAGCGACTTCAGCATCTTATTTGAAACTTTAAAAAAAAAAAATATGCCTGTTGCTGCTTCAGAACATTCCAGAGTCTTAAGATGTTGGAGGGAAGCCCAGCTAGATAATGGTTTCTGAATACTAATTCATGTCTTCTCATCCCAGTCAGTTATTGAATTAGTTTGTTCTTAGGAAACCTCTGAGGATGAAAGAAGGAGGCTTTGTTTGTAGACTTGCTATTGCTATCTGTAAATGCAGTTCCTTTTGATTGGGGGGTGGGTGTTAAGGTATATTTTCAGAGGAAGCCTCTTGCTTTGGAATATCCTAGTGAAATAGAATCTTTTCTTCTGTTTACAAATCTTAACATTTCAGAATTGAGTTTATTTCTCCTTGGAGAGAAATACGAAGTAGGTTTCATTAATAATGTGTGCTGTCTGAAGACCCAAATACTGTGAACTTTCAAAGGCCCACAAAGTAGCAATAGCAAAGATCACCAGAGCACAGACCAAGGAACTCTTCATCCTGAACTCCAAACAACATTTCTGAGTAGCAGTCGAACATTCAACTACTACGTTGAACGCTTAATTAATTATGCCCCCAAATTTGCTTCACTGTTCCAATCTTAAGCCTGGTTTTCCTCCTGCGCTCCCACCTTTGGGGACTGGGGGTGAGGGTGATGTGGAGGGGGGGGAGGGGGCAGTGTCCTAGATGACTGTTTTTGTGAGCATCATGTCCACTCTTCCTTTCGTCTTGTCTTGACCTGACCCTGCCATTCCCATGCCAACCCTATTGTTAACTGTCGACAATAACCAGCTTCAAACTCTTCAGCTGTCTTTTCTGGCTTGCTTTGTGCTGCATACAGGACAAGACCTGAACTGCTGGATATTGAGCCTGCCAAAGCTGGGGGCACCCTAGCATTTTTGGAGCAATTCCCACTGCTTTCCAGTAGGCTTTCCCACACCCCAAATGCAGCTGTTGTCTCATCCAGGAAGCCTTGAAGATGATGCCTTGAATAAATGAGAAATGGACGAATTCTGGTCTGTGAAAAACGTCGATTCTGTTTCTTTTACAGAAAGTCACCATGTCCATTCTCAAGATTCATGCCAGAGAGATTTTTGACTCCCGTGGAAACCCCACTGTTGAGGTTGATCTTTATACTGCAAAAGGTAGGTGCCACTTGGTGTCTGTGGTTCTTTGCATTGTGCTACATTATGAAAATCTTGAAACGACAGCACCTTAAGCAGACAGCGTCAGGTGAGGAAGCCTTTCTTTCTTGTATGCACCAGTATGTCATGATTTCAGACTTGTAGAGCTGGTTGTAAGGCTCTGGGAGTTCTATTCCTGGGTGGCATGTGGGTTCCTAGGTCAGTGAAGGGTGTAGGTCCTTGTCTCTGCAGGGTCCTATCGCTAGTTTTGCATCTCTGCTTGCAGTGAACAAGTGTGGTAAGATGGAATGGTCGTCCTCTCTTGATAAGAAAAGAGATTCGGGGATGGCAAGCAAGTGTAAATATGGCATGCTTGACTTCCTTTCCAGAAATCACTCTTAAACCAAAGATGGGGACAGTTTTTGCTTTGGGGTATAGAGAAAACCCAGAGGTTCTTATTTAAGTCCCCCTAAGGAGCTCTGGTAGCGTAGTGGTTGCAAATTGGGCTGTTAACCTCAGGGTCAACAGTTCAAAAGCACCAAGCTGTTCCACGGGAGAAAGATGAGGCAGTCTGCTCCCATAAAGATTTACAGCCTCGGAAACCTTGTGCAGGGTCTCTATGAGTCAGAACCGACTCGATGGCACATAACAACAACAACTACAAAGGAGCCCTGGTGACACAGTGGCTAAGTGCTCTGCTGCTAACCCAGAGGTTGACTGTTCAAACCTACCAGGCACTCTGAGGAAGAAAGGTTACAGTCTTAGAAACTCTGCAGGGCAGTTCTGCTCTGTCCTTTAGTGTCACTGTGATTCAGAATCAACTCAAGGGGGGCGTTGTGTGTGGTGGCGGGGCCGGATAAGTCCTCCTATGTTGCCATGTGTAAAAAAGAACTTTTTTCCTTTCAGAAGACAATTCAGCCCCTCTGTAGGCCTGTTTGCTCTCCCACAGTGCCTTGGCTGTTCTGTAATGGGGAGGGAGAGGTTGGGAAGGAACAGACTCACCCAGTGGTGTCTGAGCTCACTGAGACCTGCCAATCAGGACTGAGTCACGGTCTGAGTCACATGGTCGCCAGCCTTCCCCACCCAGCCCACAGAAAAAAGCGCATTCTGAGTCTAGAAGCTTCCATGCTGCCCTGCCTTGGATCACACACTGCATGGTTTCTTCTGAGCATGTGCTCTGTGACTCATGCCACAGGTCCTCAGGGGAACTGTTTTCCTTCATGTAGAGAAACTACCTGCTTAGTCGGGGTGAAACTTTCCACTCGGAAATGAATGGACTTTAGACAAGCAAGGAAAAAAAGACAAAACTCATTAGAAGACATAGAAGACTGTGATTTGGTGTCTTTTAAAGCGCTTTGGAATGACCAAAATTAATGTTTTTGGAAATTGAAATAGAATTGTCACTCATTGCTCATCATTTTTTTTTTTTTTTAAATAAAAACCATAAAGGTGTATTTGTCAAGAGCCTTTCCTCACTGGCCTGGTGCCTGATGGATACATAAGCAGGCAGTACATGTCCCAAGAAGAATATGTGTCAGTCATGCAAGCAACCCAGGCGACTTAACAAGTTGTTTGGTTACCCTATCTGGTTGCTTTTTTTTCCCTCTTTGTTCATTTGCCTCCACATCCCTGCTGCTCATCAGTTTTCACACGCCTCCACTGGGCAGTTCCTCAGCCTTGAAAGTAGGTGCCAGTGGTTGCCTACTGCTTCCTGGTTGTTCCCTCGGCTGTCTCCTCTGTAACCTGACATCTGCAATACTTTACTCTGCACAGGCTGCTCTGCCTTCTCCAAGGTTTGCCATTTTTACAGGCCACAGTGTTTCTGCATGATCCAGTGCTTAATTGTGTCCTAATGATATTAAGGCGTCCTGGAGTGGTGCTTTGTGTTAATGCACAGGACTGCAAGATCAGTTTGAACTGCAGGTCGACAGTTCAAGCTCACCAGCCTCTCCTTGGAAACCCTATACAGGGTTGCTATGAGTCGGAACCAATTCCACAGCACTTAGCAACAACAGCAGTGTTATGAAGGGAGCCCTGGTGTGGTGCTGTAGGATAAGCAACGGACTGCTAACTGCAAGGTCAACAGTTCAAACTCACAGCCACTCCTCGGGAACCCTATACAGAGTCACTATGAGTCAGAAACAACTCAACAGCACTTAAGAACAATTTCTTAAACTTTATACCTTTTACTGCCTTTATCTACCCACCCTCCAAAGCCATCTGTTTTCAGGGTTCCTCCTGTTCAGAGAACCCCAAAAATAGCATTTACCACTATCCTAGAAACAGACCAGCTGCCACGGTTCTTCCATGCGCAGTGGAGCCAGCACTTCCAGGATACATACTGGGTGTTCTTTTCATTTTGAAACTTTGTTTGAGTCCACTGAAGGTTTACAGAGCAGATCAGCGCTCCACTGAACACTTCATAGACCTCTGTGTTATATCATTACTCGCAGTCCCCACAATGGAACATCACTTACACCACTTCCTCATTGTGTTTCCTGTGTCCATTCCTTCTTCTTTACCAGCCCTTCTGAACTTTGTCCTTGAGTAATATACACTAGATTTTGAAGCCTTGATATGAAAAATAGAATGTAAGGAATAACATAATAGTTTCATCATCTGCATGTTGAAATGTTTGAGGTATAACGGAGTAAACAAAATAGAGTCGTTTTACTTTTAAAAAATGTAGCTACTAGAGCTGTAGAATAAGGACTCGACCACAAGGTCCGTGATTCAAACTCACCAGCTGCTCACAGAAACCCTGTCTAAACCCTGACTCAGCGGCACCTAACAGCAACAGCAACTAGAACATCTTAAGTTTAAGATCACAGAAGACGCTCACACTGTCTCTCCCTGGTCAGCAACTCCAGGCCATCCAGTGCCAGTGCAAACTCTCAGATCACTCTTAGGTGATTTGTTCACATTTGGGAGTTTGAGAAGCCCTGCTCTGGAGCATTTCCATTAAACCCGAGAAACACAGCAGCGCAGGATTGTGGAAATGTGAAGTGCAGATGGTAGAAGGAAGTAAAGAACCAATGCCATCTGTGAGTGGGAGAGGAACTGGGCGGATGCTCTGACTGTTTCTTCTTCAACTTCCAGGTCTCTTCAGAGCTGCTGTGCCCAGTGGTGCCTCTACTGGTATCTATGAGGCCCTGGAGCTCCGGGACAATGATAAGACCCGCTATCTGGGGAAAGGTAAGAGTGGGGACCACGGCCACCTCAGTGGAGGATGGCAACAGTGCAGCTTCGGCTCCCTCTTAGCCTTTCCACAGTTTATGATCTCAAGGCCAAGGTCTTCCATGAGAGTTCCCATTGCAACTGTCCTCAGTGTCCTTCATGGTTAGGCCAGAGAACCCAAGGGTGAGAAGAAGGCCTCTGCTGTCTGATACTGAAGAGAGAAACAAGCCTCCCTTCCTCTCCAGAGGGTTTGAGACCTCCCTGCAAGGACCTAGTGTCATAAAATGGAAGTGGTTAAGGAAGGCTTAGTAATAAGGTACCCTCTTTGATGACTAACCAATAGGTCAGTTTAATTTGATGAGTTGACTGAATCACAGAAGCACTACTTTGTAGCAAAGTCAACGACTGATGGGCTAGTTCCTAGTGACTTGGTGGATTTTTAACTGTCACCTATAGACAGACTGTGTGGCTAAATGACAGGAAAGTAGCACAGAAACCTGCATTTTCCACAGAAATTACATGGCATGGCTCTCCAGAGGTACCAATATCTGGTATTATAATTTCATGATTGGGGGCGGTGGTGAAGAGAAAGTCTAAAACAGCTCACATGGTGTGGGGGCTGAGAAATAATATTTTGGGGCTAGAGTTTCCATCTTTGTGGGAAGCCTGTGTAAAATGGTACTTTGTCCCACTGTGAGGACTACATAGTGTTTTCCCGTCCATGCCATTGCTTATAGCCTCCATGGGTCTTTGTCTAAAGCAGAGGAGTGCTGTGCTTTTATTATTATACGTGCTTGAAATCCATATCTACCAAGAGAGAAAGTCATTCTCCCCTGCCTTCCTGTGTCTTCTCTTTCTCTCACTCAGAGTCTTTCATAACCTGTTCCCTTCTGAGTTTTTCTTTTTTCCTTCTCTGTCAATCTCTACTGGTCAGGTGTCTCCAGACCTGTTAAGTATATTAATGAGTTCCTGGCGCCAGCCTTGTGCACCCAGGTAATACATGGGCGTCCTTCCCGTCTTTTTGCAGCTGGTGTCTCCAGTGCATGGCCTTGCAAACTAACTTCCTTCAGACATTCTGAGGTGGTTGCTCTGTGTTTGGCTCTAACCCTTTGGGGTCCTAGGTCAGAGCACTCAGACTGGGCCAGAAAGTCCTCTGATTCTAGGGGGGGAGGAGAGGGAAATGGGAACTTTAAGGAGGTGCCATTAAAGGTCTTCTGGTGGCTTCTGAATATTTGGGTTAACATCTTCAATGGTTTTCTCCAGCAATGTTGCTCAAGCCTGTTTTATAATTAATGACAGTAATTTGATGTGATTATTCCTTCTAGGTGTCTCAAAGGCTGTTGAGCACATCAATAAAACTATTGCGCCTGCCCTGGTTAGCAAGGTAGGAGCCTGCCTTCTGATAACTAATGTATATTAATGCTATTAGAGCGTTTCCCAGGTCAGTGGGCTTCCTGTTTATTGAAGAGCTTACTCTGAGAGCTAAAGGAGCCAATTGGATTCCCTGTCCAAGTGCATGAGAATAATCTAGCCTTTTCTAACCCACCCCCAACCTGTGCATCCCCATCTAACCATGCATGGAATTGGATCAGAGGAGCAGGACACTGTCTTAGAGACCTGATGATTCCTGAAACTGTCTGGACTTTTGTGAAATGAAGTTTTAAACCAATGTTCTCCCATGTAAACTATTACTCAGTTCACAATAACAGTTTTTTTTTTTTTTTTTTTTTTCATGAAATAGATAACTATATTTTTGAAGGAGCCCTGGTAGTGTAGTGTATGACGAGCTGCATGGTTAGTAGTTTGGATCTACCAGTCATTCTGTGGGAGAAAGATGAAACTTTCTGCTCCCATAAAGAGTTATAGTCTAGGAAAACCCTATATAGGGTCCCTGCCAGGTCAGAACTGACTTGGTGTGTGGCACACCACCAACCACCACAATATTTTAACTGTTTTCTTATAAGTAATCTTACTTGGAACCTTAGTATACTAAAGCGATCAAAGTGGGGCTGCTGTATTGAAGTAGGGCTAGATTACCCTAGAGCCTATGATATTTCCTGAGAAGGGAGCAGTCTGAGAACCCCCGTCAAGAGCCGCTCTCTAGTCAGAGTCTAATCCCTCTGCCTCCTAGGAGTTATCCTGTAACCAAAAGCAAATGGATCCTTATTAGCTATCTCTCTCCTGGTTTATTTGTTTTCTCCTGGCCTTTGCGGTGCTCTGTAATTGATCCCTGCCCAGTTAGTCCCCAGACTAATTCCTCATTACTGCCACAGTGTACACCATCAGCCCCAGCCTCCCGTGTTACCCTCCGCACCCTCACATGGCATGACAAGCGTCACGAGTAGGGCTTGTGTTGGCTTTTTCCCCTTGGGGGAAACATTCAACTGAACTGCTCGTGAGGATTGCCTGTGAAGCCATCTGTTTGTGAGTCTGTCAAAAGCAGAGGACTCCAAACTGCTCATATGGCGTGGAGGGGGAGGTGTGGATGGTTTTCCTTTCATGTTTCCATTTTTATGTAAGTAAATGGTCGCTATGGGTCGGAACCGACTCGACAGCACTTCACAACAACAACAAAATATTACAATTAATAGTTATATAATTCAACTATACAGTTTTTAAAGTAATGATAACTTTCTAGAAAAAATTACCTTGAGATTTCAAAGAGAACCTGTTTGATCATTTTGACCTCACCAGAAATACTCCGTTTGCTCAGTCATCAGACATCTTGCTTAAAGATTTTTGAATACTTGGAAAACTCATCTCCCATGAGAGGAGAGGTGCAGTGGCTGGAGAGAGCCCAGAGGGGTGGTATGTGGTGATGAAAGGGCACAACACCCTTGAACGAATACTAGTGAATGGTACATTTTTTGTTTATTGCCCCTAGAGTTATTTTGCTCTGGTTTTTGCATATAACACACCCACATAAACAGTGTGCCTGCACATTAGGTGCCCAGTTTGTAAAACATGATGCATGCATAATTTGCATTAAAATGTTGTACTGGATAGAAGTACTTTATATAGCATATGAACCATGCTTTGTTGTAGACTCTCAGATGAATGTCACCTCCTATGTGGCATAGAGACAGTGTCTTGTATCATCCTGTGCAGTTCATTGATGGCACCCTCATGCTTAGCGTGATGCCTAACCCCCTTTAGCACAGGCAAAACGCAATTTCATGTCTCCCTGTGACACCACTGTATAACCTGGAGCTGATGATGACTTTGTACAGCTCATCAGGGTTTATGAACTAAGCGATGGGAGTGCAAATAGGGTGGTCCTGAATCCCTTCCAAGAAGCTAATTCTCTCTCATGCCTTGTAGAAGCTGAACGTTGTGGAACAGGAGAAAATCGATAAACTGATGATAGAGATGGACGGAACTGAGAACAAGTGTGAGTGCCCTGAGAGGGAAGTCTTCCAGGAGGAGGGCATGAGCTGAGTGACAGTGCACAGTCTCTCCCCACTTCTCTGTCCCCCCTGAATACATCACATGTTAAATATCAGGAGCATTGCCAGATGACAGTAGCAGAGCCAGGCTTAGTCACAGGTTTGCCCTTAATGATCAAGCAATTTCTGGAATTTACTGTAGTTCCATTCACCAAAAAAAAGGGCCTTCTCTTAGTGTTGGGGGAAATAGGTGAGGAAGAACCAGGCTGGGTACCCACTACATGAAATGCTGTTTACTTCTCTAACTTGAACAATTAAGATATGATGAGTGCCGTCGAGTCAGTTCTAACTCACTTGGACACTCAGGAAGTGAGGAAGAGAAAGGGTCAGAATGCAGTCCATAGTGCAGCGCAACGAGTAGCCCTAAAGGGCCAAGGCCAGCCAGAGAAAGGTGGGTGCGTGCAAAATACTGTCATTTAAATGACTCTGTTCTGTTGTAGCGAAATTTGGGGCCAATGCCATTCTGGGTGTGTCCCTTGCTGTCTGCAAGGCTGGAGCTGTTGAGAAGGGGGTCCCCCTGTACCGGCACATTGCTGACTTGGCTGGCAATTCTGAAGTCATCCTGCCAGTGCCCGTGAGTTGTGTATTTGAATTTTCCAGGTGGGGCGTTGAGGGTGTTATTTAGGAGGCGGCTGGGCCCCAAGACCTCCTATATCCTGATCTCTCCCACCTGTGCCTTCCCAGCATCAGCTGCCCCTCTGCTACATGCTACAAGTGGCATAGAGCAGGTGACTCAGGGCCTGTTTGTGCTGAGGATAACGGGCTCACTTAACTCGTTGGGTTGGGCGCAGCATTAGCTGTGACATGGTTGCAAGTGCTCGGAACAGTACACACTTGGGACATGGTGAGAGATCTGGGGAGTCTTCTCCCTACTGACCTCACAAAGCTCTTCTGAAGATCGAGTGTTAGACTCACCTTCGAGCTGTGTAACCTGGCATGAGGGGCTTGCTGTTCATGGAGTCTTGATGCTAGACCTTCTCTTCTGTTTGTCCCCAGGCTTTCAACGTGATCAACGGTGGCTCTCATGCTGGCAATAAGCTAGCCATGCAGGAGTTCATGATCCTCCCAGTCGGAGCATCAAACTTCAAGGAAGCCATGCGCATCGGAGCCGAGGTTTACCACAACCTGAAGAATGTCATCAAGGAGAAATATGGAAAGGATGCTACCAACGTGGGGGATGAAGGCGGGTTTGCCCCTAATATCCTGGAGAACAAAGAAGGTAATGGCTCCATGGGGAGTCCCCCTGCTCTAGGCACAGCAGTTTTTCCAACTTGTCTTGGTTATTGAGTGGGGCAGTGCTAGACTGCACACAGAGTTGTTGTGGCAAGGGAAGTGAGGGATAGCAGTTCATTTTTGATAAAAAATAACAAGGAATTTTTCCTATAAATGGTGAGAGGCAATTCCTCCAAACATTCCTACTCCATCTTGGAACTGGAAATGGTTGGCGATGTTGAGTTGTGGTCAGTGGCAAACCGCCTACCCACTGTTGATCCCAACTCCTAGTGACCCCATAGGACAGAGTAGAACTACTACAGTGAGTTTTCAAGGCTGTAAATCCTTATCCTCCTGGTGTGGCAGTATAGGATAAGCACCGGACTGTCAACCACAAGGTCAGAGGCTTTCAAACACATCAGCTGCTCCTCAGACTCTATTTCTCCTATGGAGCGGCTGTTGGGTTTGAACCTCCAACCTTGCAGATAGTAGCCTACCACTTTAACCCACTGTGTAACCAGTGCTTACTCAAGCTTTTGTTCATTTTGCCTTTTGCTTTGATGCCTTTGGTGGAGAGTTAAAAGTAAATCTCCATTCTACTCTTAGGTTTAGTCATGTGAAATTACTGCTATTCAGCCATTTCTTACTTTGGCCTGGCTTAACCCAGTAGCTTGGAGACCTCTGGTGGTTACCAGTAAGGCGAGCCCTTTCTGTCCAGAGCTCCTTCCACGGGCTTGCTCTTGGCTTCTAGCCTCAGCCATTTAAGGCCTGTTCCTGCAGACAGCTGATCTCAGCTGGTCACTGAAACTGTATCTTGGCCAGTGCAGCTCATCCTGGGGTCTAAATTTGGGACCATTTGGTCAGTGAGAAAGACTTGATACTGAATCCTCCACTTGTTGATGCATTGGGGACCATGACTAATAGTTTCTTGCCCCAGAGCATCTCCAGTAACAGGGTGATTCCAAACTCTGATGGTTGGGGTCTCTCACTCTTCCTGCTGCTATGGTGCCCATTTGGAAGCTGCTACATGGAAAGTTGATCTCTGTCTGCCTGCCTGCCTGCTTTCTAAACGTGTGGCCCCATCCCTTTCCAGCCCTGGAGCTGCTTAAGAATGCAATTGGAAAAGCTGGTTACACTGACAAGGTGGTGATCGGCATGGATGTAGCTGCCTCAGAGTTCTTCCGGTCTGGAAAGTATGACTTGGACTTCAAGTCTCCTGATGACCCCAGCAGGTACATCTCACCTGACCAGCTGGCAGACCTGTACAAGTCTTTCATCAAGGACTACCCAGGTGAGTGTTCCAGCCACTGACTCAGCTGTGTCACTGAAGCATCTGGTTGGGGGGCTGCTGGGGCTCCTCCAGTGATGGTGCACACGGTACCTGCATGGTCTCACCCAGGCTCTAGGTGCAGCAGAGGAGTCAGGATTGCGCTTCCCATGGCAGTTCCGTGTTGTCATTTGATAGGTTACTGACAGTGTGGTTATTCTGTCGTCTTCAAGCCACCACAGAGCAGGTGTCATCGTAGTTCCATCTTCCAGGGGAGGGAACTGAGCCTTGAGAATCACAAGAACCATCACTTGATAGGAGATGTAAGATGAGGTACAGAGCACTTCAATAACTAGCCAAGGGTGCACAGCAAATGTGTGGAGTAAGATTTCAGGCCAGGAAGTCTGATGCCAGAGTTCCTGTGTTTAACCACTACAGTAGTAACTTGCTCAAGGTTGAGCAAAGACTCAAGGTCTTGACGTTTAGAAGTCTGACTCTTCTTTGTAGCAATATATTCAAACCATCCTGGACAGGTAAGTAACCCTGTTTTGAAAACTTAGGGTCCCAGGATTGTGGGTAACTTGTAACCAGCAGCAGGAGCAAGCTGGTAGGGAAAGGTTTCCAGGAGATGAGTAGGAAGATGATACTGATTGTAGGTGGCAGCGTGGGTGTTGGGGCCCTGCACTCCTGGAGGGTCGCACGCTGATGGGACGTGTCTCCTTTCCTCAGTGGTGTCCATCGAGGACCCCTTTGACCAGGATGACTGGGATGCTTGGACGAAGTTCACCTCCACTTCAGGGATCCAGGTGGTAGGGGACGATCTCACAGTGACCAACCCAAAGCGAATTGCCAAGGCCGTGAGCGGGAAGTCATGCAACTGCCTCCTGCTCAAAGTGAACCAGATTGGCTCTGTGACTGAGTCTCTTCAGGCGTAAGTGCCCTCAGGAATGCTGCTTCACAAAGAACAAGGTTTTCCTGGGGTTGGAGTCCTGCTGACCGAAGTGTAGGGTGCCCTGGAAGTAGCAGGGTTCCTACCTGAACTCTCAGTGGCTTCTAAAATAAGCCCTAGCCAAGGGTGATTGAATTGGGAGGGGATCAGTGCCCATGCTTCAGTTCACATAGAGAACGGTATTCAGTGAATGGCGCTGTGGGAGGCTGTCAGAGGAGACTGGTCTCTCCCCAGCTAGGGAGGCTGAACCTGGTCCTAAAACACATCTAGAGGACTAAGGTCTCAGGGCTGAGTGAATCCCAGCAGGAACGTCTTCACATTACTGACCATGTTACACTTGTTGGTCAAAGAGCAAACAGAGTCATGCCATCTGGGTTTTCTTCTGGCGTGTCTAGGTGCAAACTGGCCCAGTCCAATGGGTGGGGCGTCATGGTGTCTCATCGTTCTGGAGAGACTGAGGATACTTTCATTGCCGACCTGGTTGTGGGGCTCTGCACTGGACAGGTAAAGGACTACATGGGAAAAAGACATTCTTTTCGTCTCCGTATTCTGGGAAGACCCTAAAACTTCCTGATGAAGCTCCTCAGAAGTGGGCATTGCACAGACTTCCTCTCTGGCCCCTTCAGTTGTTAGCCTCCGGTCCTCCTTAAGAGGTTGTCATCTGCCATGGCCCCTCCCCTGACCCAGAACACCCATAAAGATTCCATATCTAACCACACACAATCATGAGGGACCCTGTTTTCTCCTTCCAGATCAAGACTGGTGCACCATGCCGATCTGAGCGCTTGGCCAAGTACAACCAGATCCTCAGGTAAAGAGATGACGCTTTATAACTTTGGGGCTATGGCTCAGCAGGGTGCCCCGAGTGTGGGGCCCACTCTCCTTGTAGACTCCTGGCTGTAGCACTGGGGAACAAGCACACATGAGGGAGCCTGAGCAGTTGTAGGTTGAGGTAAGAGTTAAACACAGATCCTTTCTTGTGGCATCTGACAGTCTCATCCCATTTCCTTGGTTCCTGTGACTGGAGCTCTGTACTCTGCTGCCATTCTGTGGTGAGAGAGAGCTTTAAACCTAAACAGAGTATCTTACTGGTGATCTAGGACTCTTGGTGTGGTGCTGTGGGCATAGCACTAGATTGCGATTCACAAGGCCGGCAGTTCAAACCCACCAGCTGTTCCTCTGAAACCCTATACAGGGTCACTATGAGTCAGAACTGACCGCATGGCACATAACAACTGGTGATCCAATTTATTGTTAAGTGCCATGGGGTCAGTTCTGACCCATAGTGACCCTGTATAGTGTTAACAAGGAGCAGCTGGTGAATTTGAACCAACAATCTTGTGGTTCAAACTGGCTTTGCAATCCAGTGCATTAACCCACAGTGCCACACCGGGACTCCACTGATCCAATTCAACACCTTTGTTTTATGGATAAGGAAACCAATGGTCAGACATGAAGAAACTTGTCCAAGGACAAATAGTCAGGGTTACCCTGTTCAGTACTTTTTATTGCCAACTTTCTACTTTCTTCATGAAACTGGGTTGCCCTTTCCTCTTTTAAATGTTTACAAAAAAAAAAAAGTGTTACTCATTTTATATTCAAAGAAATAGGAATTCTGACATTTGTCCAATTTGCCCTTCAAAGTATTGAGGGATGTGACAGGAGAGGGACAGATAGCTTGTAGGGTGACTTGGGAGATGCAGAGAACTGAATGCCCTTGTATGCCTGGTGTCTTAAAAACATAGATTGAGTGGGTGAGAGGCTACACTGGGCAGTCGGGAAGCTCTGGATTCTCATATTCCTCAGAGGCATGGGGCTGAGCCTTTGACCGGATCGATGGGTGGGGGAAGTGCCTGTATTGAGATCTAACTTTGCTTTTTTATCCTTCCCAAGAATTGAAGAGGAGCTGGGCAGCAAGGCTAAGTTTGCCGGCCAGAAGTTCAGAAACCCCTTCGCCAACTAAGTTGTGGGCAGGCAAGCCTCCAGTCAGCTAATTAGACCTCTGCTCCTGATGCAGTCGGCAGCCTCAGACGGCAGGCCAGTACAGCAGGGCATCTGGTAGTTAGCATCCTTTTCCCCAACCTGCTGATGTTCTCACTGTGTCATTAGAGCTGCGGCCAAAGCCAAGCTTGACCATCTGGAACCCTGTGGGAAACCCTAACTGTAATCATGTGAGCGGCCCAAATCATTGTCTTTCTCACCATGCTTCCCACCAAGTTTTGGGCCACGTGTACTCCAGTGTGATCCCCAAGATGTCAGCAGGCAGCATCCCCAGTGGTTTCATGTGCAAAATTAAAAAAGCGTCAGTAACTCATAAGAATGCTCTGTGTGCATGTGTGTACAGGGACAGTCTGGGATAGCTGAGTCACTGCTGTGCCTTGTCCTGAGTGGACTAAGTGTTCATTTAGTGTTTACAGACTATTGCAGGTGGACTAGAAGCTTTGGATGATTCCTTGGGAAGGCCACGTAATGCAAAAGGTGGGAAGGGATAGCATGAGGGTGTTCTCAACAGAAGCTGGGTCAGTTCAGAAGATCTAAGCTGGGAAACAGCATGACTATCAATTCTGACATCTTATTTTAAAGAAAACATCAATGCAATCCTCATCTCAAGGGCAGGGGCTTGGGGGACTATCATTGTCCAAACCAGAGGGGCTCCAGGAATCTAGTAAATCCAAATACAGGTTCTCTGTTCCTAGGAGAAGCAAGTGAAAGAACGTAAGTATAAGGTGACATTGGGGAGGTGAGAGATAAGGGGACTTAGGGTCATCACGCTTAGTAGCCTGTAACTACTACATGGGTACATGAAGCTAACTGGTGCTATTACCGGTTTATTTTTCTTTCCCTAGGAAGGTCTGGTGTGCTGTGGGCTTATGTGTCAGACTGCAAAGTCATTTGAACTGCAAAGTCAGTGGTTCAAGCTCACCATCTGTTCCTTGGAAATCCTATAAAGGGTCATTATGGGTCGGAATTGACTCAATGGCACTTAACAACAAAGTACCTCTGGTAGCATAGTGATTATGAATTGGGCTGCTAACCTCAGGGTCAGCAGTTGGAAATTTACCAGCTGTTCCTTGGGGAAAAAAAAAAATGAGGCTTTCTGCTCCCGTAAAGATTTACAGCCTCCGAAACCCTATGCAGGGTCACTATTAGTCAGAACCAACTCCATGGCACACCACCACCACCACCAAAGTAACTTGATCAAGTCTTACATCTTCTGTGTCTTAATGTATAGGCACAACTATGAGGCCCTCTTGTGGACATCCTTGTCCATTTCTTTAGTTCTGTATCAGGCTGATCCAGAGAAGCAGAATCAAACCAATGGAATGCTACTGACTGCAGCTCAGCCACCTTATAGGGCAGGTTAGAACTGCTCCTAGGGTTTCTGGGGTGGGAAATGTTTGCAAACGCAAACTGTTGCCTCTTTCTTTAATGATGCAGCTGTTTGCAATGCCGAACCTTCAGGTAACAGCCCAACATTTAGCCTACTGTGCCACCAGAGCCAGTAGGAGACAAATAGAGAATTCTTATAAGGAATTGGTCTCTGTGATTACGGGAACTGGTGAAGCAAGTCTGATACCTGCAGAGCAGCCAGTCAGATCGATGATGGGGTTCCACAGAGAGTTGAATCTCGGGAAAACCTCTCAGCCCTGGCCCTTTTTTTTTTAATTCAGTTTCATTGCTTTTTAGGTGAAATTAATACAGTGCATTATGTTCTCACTTAATGATTTTTATGCCAATTGTGTGACATTGGTTACATCTGCCCTGCTTTCAACACCTTCCAACTGATAAAGTCCACCCATGTTATCCAGGAAATTTCAAGGCTACTGTTTATTGGCTTTAATTAACATCTGTAAAATGGCTCCACAGCAATGCCTAGAATAATATTGGTGAGACTACTGGAGACGAGTCAAACCACAAAGCCTTCTTAGTCCACCTCTTGTCAACTTGTTGTCCAAACACATCTTCCTACACCTAACCTCCACTGCAGGTTAACTTAATGCACTGGGCTATAAGGTCAGTGGTTCAGGCTCACCAGCTGCTCCTAGGAAACCCTATACGGGGTCACTATGAGTCAGAACTGACTTGATGGCACTCAGCAACCTCCAAATAACTAACATTGTACCTCCACCTAACATGATACAACTATCCCTCCTACAACCCTTTCCAGCTTCTAATGATCAGTTTCTCTGAAAATCAATTCTGGAGGGGGAGCAGATCATTGGGCTGATATTTTACTGTCAGGTTTCTAACATGTCATGACATGTGTTTTACATGTTCATCCCCATGTGACTTTAAATTACATACTTTTTAATATGGCTTAATGCCACAATTCCTGACATTCAGCTTTTAAAGCAATGACTGGTAAGGGTGTTTAACACTATAGGAGTTAGGAGTCCTATCAGATTGCTGCTGAGCTGGGCGGTGGTGTTTCTGTTGCACTTAGGCCTGGTGTACCGTGGCCCCTGGGAAGTCTGTGGTTGAACTTCCTGAAAGTGATTGGCAATTGCCAACCAGCAGGCCTTTTCATGGGCCCCTCTCTGTAGCAGAACAGGCAATGCTAAGTTTCCAGAGGACATTCTTAGTGAAACATTTAAGAACATGGTCCTGATGTAGCTCTGTAGGGTAAGCACTGGACTGCTAATTGTAACCCACCAGTCACTCCTTAGAAACCCTATACTGTGAGTCAGAACTGACTCCATGGCACTTAAATGACAACAAAGATGTTAAATACACCTTCTGACCACACCAATTTACAGTGGGACTCCCAAGTGTTCTTTAAAAAGAAATAGCTTTCTTAGCACATGTTAGTTGTCACTGGGCTTTGTGTGTTTTTTATCCTTCCATTTTTCATGTTACAAATGCTTTCTCTTGGAGCATGGCCCTCTTCTGTGGTTTTCCAACCTCCAGATTCTTGAGTCTCTGGCGTTAGAACAAAAATCACTTGACAGTTTGAAGCAGTGGTCTTGAATGTGGCTGTACTGTAAACGCACTGGGGAGCGCTACAAGCTCCCACTGCCCAGAATCTCCGGGGATGGGACCCAAAGCGCCCATTTGATTGAATGCTTAGCTGAACTTGAGAACCACTGGGGTAAAGGGACTGGGCTGGAGACATGGGGGTGACCAGGCAGGGCTGGAATGGCAGCTCTTCATGGATGCAGACAGAAGCAGTCAGGCTGCCTTGGAAAAGCCCCCAATCCCTGGCAAATTTTTTTTTTTTTTTATTTAAGGTTTTGTGGATTGAGTGAAAGTTTACAGGGCA